CATATGGGACAGTTCTACTGTGTCCTATAGGGTCGCTATAAGTCAGAATCGACTCGATGGCACACAACAACAGAGTAGAAGTAATCTGCCTGGGCACTGGATGCCTGTGAGAATGTCTTCAAGAGACCTGTACGTTAATCACATATATTAGGACTTGGCATAGATTACAACTCCTCTAAACCCAAGAAAACTTTATAAAAAGGAACAGAAAGCCATGGACTTACTGAATCTGAAACTTTAGCAGAGGACCTTTTGTTTCCGTCGACATTGAAGTGAAAACAGCGTGCTTTTGTCTGGGAAGCTGCTGGGCACTGCTGAGACAAAAAGCGAGCATGAGCATCTCCAAGGGACAGAAGAGTCAGTAACACAAGCTGGAGGGGTGGTCTTCACTGCAGATTCCCCGGCAGACTGTGCTCCCTCAGCCACTGATCTGAGCTTTCCCTGCACCCCAGGCGCTATGGTCATCTAGAAACCTCTCAGGGCAGGGCTGGGGAGAGAGAGTGAGGGAAGGGGAGTGGGAGGAGGGGGAGGCTCAGCCACATCCCACCCTCAACTCTAGGATAATCTGTTCTGGATTAAATTTGTCTCAAACAGATGTTCACTGAGACCTACTTAAACTTCTGATTCAAACACAAAATGCAAGAGGGAGCCTTCCACTTTTACTTCCTAGTTTGTGACACTGAGTGGAGAATGACAAAGACACACTGCGTCCCTATGTGCAGGAGAGCTTTGCAAACACGGACGCATTTTCATGGATATGTTAGGAGCTCCTAACGACAGAGGTTTATGGTCACTGGAAAAGGCACTCCACATACAGACTAGACAGCACATGGGAAGATTTATGTTCTTGAACAGGGGCTATTACTTTCTGGAACACCTGGTAAAAGCTACCGGGCACAGTGGGGTGCAGTGGGTACAGAGGGATGCGTGGGATAACCCTTCACCGTGAATGTGAGAGGGGGAACCCCACCCCCCACCCCCTGCTCAGGTGCGGTTCCCTCTGCAACACTCAAGTCTCACTAAATGTTCCACCCTACACACATTTATTCAAGAAATACTGGTATGTATGACATCACAGCCCAAAGTATAAGACATGACGTTCTCCATATGCCACGACTTGCCAGCCACCTATGGGACGGGCTATTTTCCATCCTGGTGACTGCACTTTAAAAGATCACTGATAAAATGAAGGGCCCTAGAAATATGTTAAAGAACAGTTTTAGGAAATAAGCACATTTAGGACCAAGACGAGATACGAGAGATGTTTTCAAGTATTCTGCAATTTGGAAGACATGTTATTCTGTGAAGTAAAAATAACCAGGACAAACAAGTGGGGCGTGCAGAGAGGAGGATTTTGGTAAAATATAAAATGAACTCTAAATGGAGCTGTCTGAAAATGAACAGACTCCCCCCACCAAATCAGGTGACGGTGCTCGGGTAGGGCTGGGCACCCTGATTTCCTGTGGGGGCCATCGTGTGTGGGTGTCCTACCTCTAGGGTTCCTTCTAACTCACAGCTCCAACTACAAAGTGGTTTCTTAGACTTTTAAATAGATGTGAACTGATACATAAAAGCAATATTCTTGAATTCCCCAATTTCAATTTTAAGCCCCTTTCTTTGTTTGTATTGACATAAGCTAATTTAATGTTTTCTTTCAGAAAATGAATGAAAAAGAACAAAGATTTTCTACCTTACATAATTTTTTCAAATGGTAAAAATCATATTTCAACAAAGAATTAGGCCATTAAAAAAGTTTTAATATAAATGTTCTTAGAAAGTACAATTATAGTGTAATAGCAAAAAGAACAGTTATAACTGAATATGCAATGTAATTTGTAAAACTGACTTTCATTTTGTAATAGCAAAGTAAAATTAAAATAGAACCAGTGAGGTCCCTAATTATTGGTTTCTTCTTTACAGGGTGTTTAACACGTGCACGCGCACACACGACTAGTTTGAAAAGTGGCAGCTATTACAATGAAATCTTTAGCAAATTACCACACCATCTCAGTGAAGAGTGACACTTTCACCATCTATACCTGATTTGGGGGAGATTTTGAAAACTGAAGAGCTCAGTTTTAACCCAATTTCTGTTTTCATATAAAAATGATTTTGTATAATTTATTAAATTAACTAGCCTGTTTTTTGAGGAGAAATCACCAGAGATTTTCTAACAGGACAACATGAAGAATGAGGAAACCTACGCATGGTTTCACTACAAGGAACACCTGGACCTTGTAAGATGGTGGGCCAGTTCCACCTGCGTATTTTCCCCATCCTCCTGAGACCCTTATTAACGAGGATAATAAAGAAAAAAGGTGTAATTTTACTAAATGGAATGTAAACATTAGTAACTCTACCAGCATTAAAGTACAGATGACTGAAGCTAGGTGGTAGAAAGGAGAAAAAAGCGAGTGAAGAGATGCTAACATGTCCATCTAACAAAGTGGAGGGTCCTCATAAATCGCCAACAAGGAACCAGTTTGTGAAAACAAGGTTTAACATTACAAAAGTAACCAAAAAGGACCTAAAAATAGTCACGTAACTATGCTGGGAGGAGGAAGGAAGAGGAAGTAGGGTGATTTAAGTGAACTAAATCCTTATCCATCAGCAAGAAGAGGAGGTTTAAAATTAGTAAAAATGGACCTGCATATCAGCTAGATAGGGAGGGAGCCCTGGTGGCGAAGTGGTTAACCAAAAGGTCAGCAGTTTGAATCCACCAGCCGCTCCTTGGAAACCCTATGGGGTAGTTCTACTCTGTCCTACAGGGTCGCTCGGAATCACTCGACGGCAATAGGTTTGGTTTGTTGGTAGGAGGCCAACCAGAAACAATTCAGACTTGCTTCCATAAAAGGGGCGGTGGGGAGGATAGCGGGATAGAGACTCTTCCTTTTCATTTACAAGGCCTTCTGAACTAGTTGATTTTTTTACAACTATGCGTGCATACATGTGTAATAATTTTCATTAAAAATTTAAGTGTTTATTATTCTTTAAAATAGGAAAGCTTAAAATACTGTTCACACGGTTACTGAGCACTGGCCATAAGCCCGGGCTGGTATGAGCATAGCACGAAGGTTTCACACAGGTTACCTCACAGAACCCTCACCACCCAGGAGGTGGCCAGAGTTCACCCCACTGAGAAACTCCATCCAGGGTCCGCCTGTTTGACTCCAGATCCTGTAGTGTTCCCCACCCTCCAGACAGACACTTAGGGAAAATCTCTGAGGGACTCTGAACTAAGATTAATATCCAGGTTACGTATCAAAACCACACTAGTTTTCAAATGTGATTTTAAAAACTTGACTGTAACCAAGAAAAACACCACACAGGACGTAGACATGTATGACACTGGCATTACAATCACCCTGAGAAGCAAAACAAAAGACTATTGTAATGGCCTAGACAATGTAATTCCAGATATATCCTTAAAGCATACTGAGAACAATCCTCTACAGAAAAGAAACTGACTTATCGCAGGACAACATCTTGGATGTTCATGTAATAGGATTTGAAAAACTTCACCTAAAATGAACTGTTAACAGCTGTTTAAGGCCTTAGGTTGTACTTTTCTCTATTAAACTATGAGTTTATAGAATGGGTCAGTGCCCTGGGGCAATGAAAAGGGAACAAAAGCAAAATGAGGTGGATAATTTTGTAACTTGAAAGCAGCAGTAAATACTGAAATGACCTGGAAACACTACAGACAAGACTGACCAAAATGATTTAAAAAAATTCTCTGTGGACCTAAATCATCTAATTATCCTTATCGCCTATTTTCCACAGACATTTCTGAACTGGCTATAATAAACTTCTTCCTTTCATCTGCTAATTTTTCTCTTGTTCCTCCGTAAACTCTGATTCTTCAGGAAAAAGAGCCAACCTTTAGCTCCAATAAATGTTTCTTGAGAACGAAAATAGTTTCCACTGTCTTCATCAAGATAAGAATTTAAAAAAAATTCAAGATCATCTTTTACCAAAAGGTATACCTCTTGGTTCAATTTTGCTATTTCGATCTCGTGATCTCGTTTACAAGCGCCTAACCACCACAACAGTTCGCAGGCTTCAAAGCGCTAACGCACGTAAAGCCAAGTGCCGACAGCTCTAGCTGGATCAACTGACGTTTTTATAGTGCAGAAAACGGTCACTTCCAAGCCAGCCTTTAGGGGAGGTGTACTCACCCTGACCTCTTCCTATGCTTTCAGCCACAAGCTCAGAGACAGACTTTTTCTAGTCGGTCTAGACGAACGACAACGTTTTCACGCGCAGACCGCCTGCCCACCCGAGCCCACCGCGGGGACCACGCGGGAACACCTGTGGTCACGCCCTGCAGAGGCCCGGCCCGCGGCGGCAGCCTCCGCCTGAGGCCGAAGGGCAGTCCGGGCGCGGCACTGCGGGCCGCTACCTCCCTGTGACCTTGGGCCGAGCCGACCCCCCGAGTTCACGCAACGAGAACTGGAGCGCGGACGACCTTAGGCTGCGGGCCCCGAACCCGGGCCTAGACCTGTGCCTGGGAGAGGTTCCGCCGGGGCGGCCCGCGGGGTCGTGACCTTCATCCGGACGCAACGTGGCGGGCTCTGCACGGACTCCGCTTGGGTTCGGGACCCCGGCGATCTCCCTGCCCGGTCCCTGGCCGACTTCCCTCACGCGCCCCGCAGACCGTTCCCCCGCCGCGTCCCGACCCCGGGCAGCGGGCGCGGATACCGGTGGGCGCGGGACCGGGCTCCGCTCGGCCGGGACCGTCCTGCCGCTGCCGCCTCGGCCCCCTCCCGCGGCGCCGACTCACCACCCGCATCTGCGCCAGGCGCCGGCCGCGCAACAGCTGCGACAAGACCCGGACCCCCGACATGCCTGCAGCCACAGCCGTTCCCGCCAGCCCCCGCGACACACTGCGCCTGCGCACCGCGCCGCACCCGTAGCAGAGGGAGGGGGGACGAGGGCCCTGCGCCTGCGCACCGCGCCCCGCCCGGAGCAGGGGGGAGGCGAACGAGGGCACTGCGCCTGCGCTAAGCGGATCGGCTGACCCGGGACCCAGCAGTGAGGGACTCGCGGGCGGAGGCCCCTGCGGTGAAAGACCGGCGGGCGGAGGTCCTGGTGCTGAGGGTACGCGGAGGAACCGGCGGGAGGAGGCCTCAGCGCTGAGGGACCAGCGGAAGAGGCTCCGGCGCTCTCAGCCCGGAGGTAGGTCGGGGCGCTCGGTGGCCGGGGCTGCCCAGGCGGTTTTCGGGGCTGGGGTCCGCGCATCGGCATTTCTGAAAGTCCCCTGGGTGATTCTGGTGTGTTGCCAGGTGCAGGTCACAATCTCCGAGAACTTTCCTCCGCCGGTGACCGGCGGCAGGAATGACCACAGATGGAACTCCCCGCAGGGACCCGCCTCGCAGCCCTCCGCGGCCTCCTGTCAGAATCTGACCGGCGGTCATCCCGTTAGGACTTCCCGTCGGCTGCTGGGGTGCTCAGAACCGAGATTTTCAGGGGCGGGGGAGTCAATTCTAAAGGCGGTGTGAACCTTTGGCTTACATGTCTTTTCACTAACGTCTCCCTGATTTTACCTCTGGGTCAGGTAATATCTTTATTTTCCTGACGTGCTTACGGAAACCCTGGTGGCGTAGTGGTTAAGAGCTACGGCTACTGACCGCTGTCGATCAGCAGTTCGAATCCACCACACGCTCTTTGGTAAACCATATGGGCAATTCTGCCCTCTTCTTTAGGGTCACTATGAGTCGGAATCGACTCGACTGCAACGGGTTTGTTTTCTGGTTCTTGAACACAATCTTCATGAATGTGATTTTGATACATTTTATTGAGTAAGTTTACACAGATCATTTCCATTTTATTAACTTTTAGGTTGCTTCCAAATGTTCACTATTTTAGATAACACCATAAAGATTATAGTTGCATAAGGGTTTATTTTTATTAACGATTATTTACTTAGGCTGTATGCCCCAGAAGTGGATTTTACTGGCTTGGGGAAAAGAAATATGATACTTCCCAGATGTTTATTGAAAATACTTAGTTTTAGTACGTTCAGATACTTAATTTTGTTATTCTATGGTTACCACAGGCCCCTTAATATTAAGTTACGAGCCATATGTTTTTTGGCGTTTCTTTACTGCCTGTCATAATTTTGTATCTTTACAATTGAAAGAAGTATTTACTTAAAAACATATTAAAATTTTAAGAAATTGAATTAAATTCCTTTTTTCTTATGTGCTCTGTGATGAATGTTTTTTAATGAGTATGTATCACTTCTGGCAATCCCAGAGAAATGAGCTAAAAGCTCTCACGATTCTGCTCTGAAAATGCTCAACCTAGTGTAGGTACTTGGAGTCGTCGGGTAGTGCCGATGGTTAAGGAGCTTAGCTGCTCACTGAAAAGTTGGAGGTTCCAGTCCATCCAGAGGTGCCTCAGAAGAAGGGCCTGGCAGTCTACTTCTGAAAAAATCAGCTATTGAAAACGCTGTGGATCACAGTTCTACTGACACTCCTGGGATCACCGCGAGTTGGAGTTAGCTTGACAGCAACTGGTGGGTAGGTTCTTAGGAAATTCGTATTAACATTAGACCCCCGCCTCATTACTGCGCATGTACAGTGGCCTTAAGCAGAATATCTGTGATCTTGGTGATCATCACCTCCAGTGTAAAACAGTCTTCTCCGGCACTGTCTCCACTCCACACGCACACATTCTGTGCCTATGGGAGATGCTCTTCACTGCCTGAAGCAGCTAGTCTTTTCACACCTTCCTGCCTGCCTCACACTACTTCTGCTGGAAGATCCCTTCCTTCTGTCTCTGCCTGCTGAAATGATGATTGTCTTTTAAAATAGCTCATATAAAACAGTAAGTACAGTGATATCCCACTTCTGTTGAGTTGATAAATCCTTGTATACAACCATACTTTTAACCATATATATGATAGAAAACTTACCCCATTCTGCCTGTATTTGAGTTATTTGGGACATTTCTGTCTCCCCCACTTTACTCCACTAGACTGTAAACTGCTTTTGTCTAAAGTCTTGTTTTTCTCCAAATCCCGCAGGGCTCAGTGCTATGCTGCATATAGGTAGATGATATAGTGATATAATTGTAACATAGGTATTTTATTCCTTTTATATGGTTAATGTTTTTATCATTTACTTTAAGGTATATCTCAATGAATAACTTAAATGACCCTCCAAATTGGAATATCCGGCCCAATTCCCGGGCTGAAGGGGGTGATGGAAGCAGATGGAATTATGCCCTATTGGTTCCGATGCTGGGATTGGCTGCTTTTCGTAAGTCATGCTTTTCATAACATTTACATTTTCTGGGCTGAATGTGGAGCACTGCTGAGGGAGGCAAAAGGTGGGGGACATGTATGCGAGTGTACACCCTACTTTCCATCTCAGACAGTGGAGTCTTGGGCAGATTACTTAATCCTTCTGAGCCTCAGTTTCTCTGTCCAAGGGAGGTGGCTAATCACACTTACCGTAAATCACTGGAGAACTAAATAAGATGAATAATTACAAGCATTTTGTGTGGAGTGTGTTTTAGTAAGTGTTAGCTCCCTTTCAGGGTTTCACTGCTCTGAACGTGGCTCTCTTGCTTCACTTGCCATCACAAAGAGTGATGGGGAGGAATAAAGCACAAAGGAAAACCAGTTTTGGACATCTGTTTAATGTTTGGGAAATCAGTCAGTCTTTGGTAGACTTCATCCATGAAACCAGAAGTTCTCACTAGTTTGAATTAACTTTGTACTGCTTCTGGGAATTTACCAGTCATATACAGATTTACTATTCTGGCCCTTAACTACATCCACTGTATGATAAATTTCCTGATGTTCGGGAGTTGGTTGCTTTTATATTTTTTCACATCCCATGGTTTTTGGTTGGCACTTAAGAATTTGAGTACTTGAATAATCAAATGGAAGAAAAGCAAAAACGGCCTTCTATTTGTAGTGATATTTTTTATATGTGGCTTTTTACGGGCCAAGATTTCTTGGTCCAACAGGTTTAACATAGAAGCAGAGGCTGACAAGAGCAGTTATTTATAATTCGGTAGATCTGCACTGGGCTCTGCTTCTTCGTGAAAGACAGGCTGATCCAAATCCACCCCTAAGGACATTGCCATTTAAACGCTCACTAGCCTGCAGTCTTGCAAAACACTTGGAAAGACTACCTGTTGCCCGTGGCTAGGGTGATAAATTTCTACCTTGGTAAATGAATCGAAAGGCTTAAAGTTACATTGAATAATGTAATAATTAATTGGTATTGAGATTTCGAGAGGCCCTGAAATGACTTTCATTTTCCATTTGTTTTTCAGATCACCTCTAGCTTTTATAATCTTTCATAATAACCTTTACTTTGAAATTCTTGCCTTCCTTCTGTACTTTTGAAATGATGTTCTCTGTTCCTTAGAAAGGTTGAGGAATGTTTTATCTTGGTTATTTTGCTTAGGTGATGTCATGAGAGATAACTTCTGACTTTGAATTCTTATAAGGATTTCCTAAAAATGTGTTATTACATGTTGAGAAGTTATATTGTAAGATACGGCGTTAATCATTCCTCTAGCATAGTCTAGAAGTAAAGGTAGAATACTTGATAAACATTATTGGCCGATTTATTGATGAGAGAGGCTAGTTTTAGCTTGATCATTTAATATGCTGGCTTATATAACCTTTAACACAGTATAGAGATCAGTGTAAATAAGCCTGCTTGAAAGAGCAATAATCCCTGGCAGAAATTCTTACCCTGGATAGCTCCCCTGATGAAATGCTTGAAAGGTAATTTCTTCACGATAAGAGTTTGGGTGGCTGGGGAAATGAGGCTTAAGCCAACATCCATTGGGAAAATGTTGAGTATTCCAGTCTTTTGGCAAATTTCTCTCTTCTCCACACATCTTCTATCATCCTGTTTTTCCTGCAAGGAGCCCTCGTGGCACAGTGGTTAAAGTGCTCAGCTGCTAACCAAAATGTCGGCGGTTCGAACTCCCCAGCTGCTCCGTGGCAGAAAGATGTGGCAGTCTGCTTCTGTAAAGATTTACAGTCTTAGAAACCCTGTGGGGTCAGTTCTCTGTCACATTGGGTCACTATGAGTGGAAATCAACTTGATGGCAATGGATTTGGTTTGGTATTTTTCCTACTTTTCTCTTAACTTTCCTATTTCTTCCCCATCTCCTTGTTTTCTTCTTACCTCTCTTGCATGCCCTTACCTCTTTTCTTTCCCGTCCTGGAAACGACATAGTCTTCGAGCTGGAAGGGGCTGGTAAAGTTCATTTAGTCCAACTCTGTTTTTTTTATTTAACTTTTTATTTTAACTATAGATTTACATACAGTTGTAATAAATAATACAGAGAGATCCCATGTACCCTTTATCCATGTTCCCCCAGTGGTAAAACTACAGTACAATATCACAACCAGGATGTTTCCATCATAAATATCCCTCACGTTACCCATTTATAACCACTCAGACCACCCTCCCACCTTATCTCCTTCTTAACCCTTGTCAACTACTAATCTGTTCTCTATTTGTATAATTCTGACATTTCAAATATGTTATATAAATGGAATCATACAGTATATAACCTTTTGAGATTGGCTTTTTTTCACTCAGCATAATTCTCTGGAGAGTCATCCAGGTTGTTCAGCGTATCAGTAGTTCCTTTTTTTATTGTTGAGTAGTATTGGATGTAGCACAGTTTAACCGTTCAACCATTGAAAGACATTTCGGTTGTTTCCAGTTTGGGGCTATTATGAATAAAGCTGTTGTAAACATTCATGTACAGGTTTTTGTGTGAACAGAAGTTTATATTTCTCTGGAATAAATGCCAAGAAATGCGATTGCTGGGTCATATGGTAGTTGCATGCTAAGTTTTTTAAGAGACTGTTTTCCAGAGTGGCTGTACCATTTTACCTTTTCATCAACAATGTATGAGTGGTCCAGTTTCTCCACATCCTTGCCAGCATTTCATGTTGTCACAATTTTTTATGTTAGCCATTCTGATAGGTATGTAGATCGACTGCTAACCTAAAGATTGGCAGTTTGAACCCGTCCAGCGATACTATGGAATGAAAGGCCTGGCAATCTGCTTCTGTTAAGATTACAGCCAAGAAAACCCTTTGGAGCAGTTCTACTCTGTATCACATGGGTTGCTGTGAGTTGCAATGGACTTGACAGCAACTAACAATGACTGATGGTATTTTATAGTTTTTCAGTGTTTGAAGACTTTCCTGTTATCTTTTTGTTACTGATTTCTAGTTGGATTCCATTGTGGTTGAAGAATACACTCTGCATGACTTCTGTTCTTTTAAATTTGTTGAGGTTTGCTTTATGGTCTTGTATATGGTCTATCTTGGTATACGTTCTATAGACACTTGAGAAGAATGTGTTTTCTGCTGTTGTTGAGTGGAGCATTCTAGAAATGTCAGTTAGATTCTGTTAGTTGATGGTGTCGTTGAGTTCTTCCGTATAGTTATACTATCTTGCTGATTTTCTATATAGTTATACTATCAGTTGTTGAGAGAGGGATATTGAAGTCTTCAATTATAATTTTGGATTTGTCTATTTCTCCTTTCATTTTTATTGGTTTTGCTTTACATATTTTGCAGCTCTGTTGTTTAGCGCATACACGTTTAGGATTGCCATCTTTCTGGTGGATTGACACTTTTATTATTATATAACATTTCTCTCTGTCTCTGTTAATTTTCTTTGCTTTGAAGTCTACTTTATCTGATGCTGATCTACTTCCAAAAAATCTACCACTGAAAACCCTGTGGAGCACAGTTCTACTCTGACACACATGGGGTCACCAGGAGTTGGAAGTGACTCCACAGTAACTGGTAACTAGTTTTATTTGTTATTAATATAGCCACTCTTGCTTTCTTTTGTTTGATGATTTCACGATGGATCTCCCTTCTTTTATTTTCAACCTGCCTGCACTGTTATATGTAAAGTAAGTTCTACACAGCTCCAGTATTTCCATCTGCCTGGAGGCCATTTTCACTGGATGTGTTGTTGCCACCTCCAGCTCTACAAGCTTAAAACCAAACTCCTCATTTCCCAACTCAAAGTATTTTCTAGTCCTATTTCAGTTGATAACCCAAAAACAACCTTTGCCAAAGAGCTCACAGGCAGGGCACTGACCAGTAAAGAAACAAATGCAGTATAATTTGAGAAGCTTTCAAAGGTATGCACAAGGGATGTGAGGAGAAGAGAGGAGGGAAGGGCTAGTTGAGTTTTGCGGGCAGTCACGGAAGGCTTCATAAAATAAGTGAATTTGAGCAGAGTCTGGAAGGCTGATTAGGAGTTGACCTAGTGGACTGGGTAGGAAAGGTCATTCTAGTTAGAAGGAATAGGTGCAGGAGGGGACATCACATGTTTTGATAGCTGTTATTTTCAGGAATCAGATGTGCCCGGACCAAACCAAACCAAACAAAACCTGTTGCCATTGAGTCGATTCCAACTCATACACTATAGGACAGAGTAGAACTGTCCCCATAGGGTTTCCAAGGAGTGGCTGGTGGATTCGAACAGCCAACCTTTTGGTTAGCAGCTGAGCTCTTAACCACTGCGCCATCAGGGCTTTGATGTGCTGGAGTAGAATTTATATCAGGGAGAAGCTGGAAAAGTCCACAGGGACTAAATGGAAGTCGAGGAATTTATTCTGCAGTCATGCAGAGCCATTGAAGTTTTTTTAAGACTAGGAATGGTATCTGATTGACATCATGCTAGTGGGGATGTGAAGGATAAGGAGGGTGGGTGGAAGAGCCGGCTAGAGGGGAAGGGGAAGGGAGACTAGAGCAGGGAGCCACTCCCTGCTTTGCTCACACAAAGAGACAGTTGATATTAGGGACTAAATAAGATTCCTAAGGGACCTGGGGAAAAGAGAACCAAATGGCAAGGAGCACACCTTGGGTGTTGGTAGAGGAAAAGGACCCAGTGCAAGCAGCAGCGATAAAGAAGTAGGAAGAGAACCTGGGAAGCTGATAGAAACTGCAGTGGTTCCAAGAGGGGGAGGCAGGGTGTTGAATACAGTGTAAAAAATAGCTTTAAATTCAGTCATTAAAATGGTATTGATGACCTTGCGAGAGCCATTTCAGTGGTAACAGAGGAAGGAAGCTGGATTGTCAGGGGGTTGAAGGAAGTGGGTGGTCAGGATAGAAGGAGAGAATTCTGTGAGAGCAGCCTGGCTACACTGTGAGATCTTGGTATAAACACTGCTTTAAACTCTGTAAACTGTTGCCCTTGTTGGCTTTTGGGCCTCAGGCTTTCGAATGTTTCTGAACAGACTTTCTGTTCTCCAGGGGACTCACATCCATGCTGCTTTCAGCATGCACAGGCTGAACAAACATTTTCAGGCACATTGCTCCAGCATTTATTAAACTCAAGCAACGGCCTCACTTGAAGATGCAGTAGATTTCCTGCAGCACTGAAAGATCGCTGTACTGCCTTTTGTTTCATTAGTGAAGCACACCTAACCCTCGTTGTTACTGGGATGCGGAGAGAGCTGATGACTCCTCATGAAAGGAGCATCCAGAATTTAGCAGGCTTTTGCGGGCACTGAGACTCCCTGTCTGTGTCCTGGGATCCATGGGGCACTGGGTTTCTCCGCACAGCAGAGGACAGAGGCAGGCTGCTCTTCAGTTTGTCAGGCTTACCCCTCCACTCCCCGCACTCCTGCCCCAGTGTGTGTGGTCTCCAGCTTGGGGAAAGCGGGCCAAACCATGCCTAGAGGTTGCACTTCTCATCCACCTTATTTTTGTGCACCCCCATCAGAGCACAAGCAGGCATCTTGGGCTTGAGCTGAACACAACTGAAAATTGACTCAATTCTGCAATAACCTGGCCAATAGTATTGAAGCCTACCCATATTCATTTTTTAAATTTTGCCTGGATACCTGGGGGCACTGGGACAAATAGTGGTAGGCTTAAGAGCAAGAGGAAGCAGTTGTAGATTTTCTTAGAATCTTAGAAGACTGAGGGGGGAACTCTCTTGTCATATTTGTCTTTTAGTCCCATACAGCCCTTGCCTGATTTTAAGGTAACTGCATGTAACACTCCACACATACAAAGTGTTGTGGTACCTTGGAGGTTTTAAGCTTTTTTTGAAATGCTGTCCTTGGCTGCTTTGTGTTTTCTTTAAATAAAGATTACAGAACTTCAGCTTTGCGTTTCCATTCTGTAATATTTTTCTCCCCCATTTACTCATATCAGGTTGGATTTGGTCTAGGGAGTCCCAAAAAGAAATAGAAAAGGAGAGAGAAGTATTCCATCAGAGAACAGCTGCTTTCCAACGGGATCTTGAGGCCAAGTACCATGCGATTATCTCAGAAAACCGCCGTGCCGTCGCACAGCTGTCTTTGGAACTTGAAAAGGAACAAAACAGAACAGCTAGTTATCGGGAAGCCCTTATCTCTCAGGGCCGCAAGTTGGTAGAAGAAAAGAAGCTTCTGGAACAGGAACGGGCTCGGGTCATGCAAGAAAAGAGGCAGTTGCAGCCCTTGAGAAGTGCATACCAGAGCTGCCTGGAAAGGGAAGAAGACTGGCAGAGGAGAGCCAGGCTGCTGCTGAAGGAGTTTGAAGATGCTCTGACAGAGAGACAGAACATCTACTGCAGCCTGGTCCTCCCTCGCAGCAAGCGGCTGGAAATAGAGAAGAGCCTGCTGGTCCGTGCGTCTGTTGACCCGGTTGCTGCTGACCTGGAGATGGTGACCGGTCTAACTGACATATTTAGACACGACACATACTGTGGGGATGTCTGGAACACCAACAAACGCCAGAATGGGAGGCTCATGTGGCTGTACCTCAAGTATTGGGAGCTGATTGTCGAACTGAAAAAGTTTAAGAGAGTAGAGAAAGCCATACTGGAAAAGTGAGACAAAAATGGAATGGAACTTCTGTTAATGACTGAAGGCCATTTGGGGGTATCCAGAGTGTCCTCCGTTTCTTCAGCAGTGTGTCTTCCCTGTTAGGCCTCTTCAGCTAGTGAGGGTACAGTTTCTTTGGAGAATTTTTTAAGCTGTCAGTATTTTATTTAGTTGAACTATAATCTCCTGTTTTAGTTCTGGGGTAAAAGTTGTTTTTTAAAAAAGTAAAATACAGTGTTGATCTCAACATAAGTACTTTTTTGGTCTGTTTTTATCACTCCCTAAATAAATTATGTTTCTTCCTTGAATTATTTTTCTATCTCCCAAAGTTACACTTAGAAACTGTCAGATTATGGATAAAACGGCCCAACAGATGGTAATAAAAAGTAGGAACATTATATTGTCAAGGTTTTATATGGTTTTGAAGATCTCTCCCACTCCTCCAAAGGAAAAGCAAACAAAAATCAAAACCCACCAAGTGTTTTTGTATGCAGTTGGTACCCTGTAGTATCTGTTTGGAATTTGGCTATGTCTGTGTTTGATATACAGATAGTTATCAGCAATGATGTATAATAAAGAATGCTTGCCCGTTAAAAGTAATAATGCCATTTTTATTTATATGATTATTTACTCATTACAAAATTTTTTATAAATACATTGTCTTGGTTTTTACCACAAACTGAAAGGGAGGCAGGGCACTTACGACCCCATTTCTCGTGGAACCAGAATAAACGAGCCTTTACTATGTGCTTTTTGCGTCTGCTCTTGAGGTGGTACTCCCTCACAATCCCACATGATGAGCACTCCCAGTGTCCTCATTTTACAGGTGAGGGAGCTGCTACTGGGGTACACAAAAGTGGAGTAACCTGCCAGGGTCACACAGGTGGTCACGTTGGAGCCGATGTGAACCCAGGCACTTTAGTTTCATAACTGTTAGCAATTTGTATACAGTTATTTAGTAAGTGGCCAAGCAGGGCCTGGAGCGAGGTTAGCCAACTGCTTTCAAATCTTGTGTTCTCCCATTCTGCCAGTCTGTCTATACTGGAATAAGATGAGCTATTAAAAATACTAAGCTTATCGAAAACTTAGTTCAATTCAGGGTAATAGTTATAACCATCAGAGCTACTCTTGGTTAAGTACATACTGTGCTGAGTCTTACATAATTTGTATTGTATGCACATGTTGTTTTCAGTCCTCAGAACCGTTCTTCATGCCAAGCTCAGAGGGCTGAAGTCAGTTGCCTAAAATGGACATGGGCCTTCAGCTCCAGAATCTTGGCCCCTGTCCCTGCTCAGAGGGCGTGATGCATCTTCACTGGCCACTCAGCGTGTCTTTCTGCTATATCACCATCACTTCATCTGATCAAAGGAAATTTCTTTAGGCAAATCTGGACTAATGTTTCTGTAGTGACCTAGTGGATTCCTGGTGGATTTTCAAAGGAAATTTCTTTAGGCAAATCTGGACTAGGATGTTTCACTAGTGACCTAGTGGATTCCTGGTGGATTATACCCTTGTTCAACAAGTTAGTTCATGTTCTGGTTCCTATTATTCCGCTGGTTTGCTGAGTGTCCTTGGATAAACCAGTTAATGCTTTTCTCTTGCTTTTATCTTTGAAATGAGGAAAATATGGTCACCCCTTCTATGGATTTCTCAAGGTGAATTGTTCAGTCTTACTCCCTTTTCTAATGTTGTCCAACATGCCTCAGCCTTGCTCCCTTCAACATTTGGATAAATATGTTCAGATAATTCACACCCATTTGGACACTGGCTCAATACTGCAAAATTAGGAAGACAAGTTTCCCACAGAGAATCAGGTGGTGGTTGTTGCTAGGCGCCATCAAGTCGGTTTTGACTCATAGTGACCCTGTGTACAACAGAACGAAACACTGCCCAGTCCTGCACCGTCCTCACAATTGTTGTTATGCTTGAGCCCATTGTTGCATCCTCCCTGTCAGTCTGTCTTGTTGAGGATCCTCCTCTTTTTCGCTGGCCCTATACTTTACCAAGCATCATGTCCTTCTCCAGGGACTGATCCCTCCTGATAACATGTCCAAAGTACATGAGACATAGTCTCGCCATCCTCGCTTCTAAGGAGCATTCTGGCTGTACTTCTGGGTCAGATTTGTTAGTTCTTCTGGCAATCCATGGTATATTCAATATTCTTCACCAGCACCATAATTCAAAGTATCAATTCTTCAGTCTTCCTTATTCATTGTCTGGCTTTCACATGCATATGAGGCGATTGAAAACACCATGGCTTGGGTCACCTTGAACACCTTAAAGAGGTCTTTTGCAGCAGATTTGCCCAGTGCAATATGTCGTTTGATTTCTTGACTGCTGCTTCCATGGGCATTGATTATAGATTCAAGTAAAATGAAATCCTTGACAACTTCAATCTTTTCACCATTTATCATGATGTTGTGTATTGGTCCAGTTGTGAGGACTTTTGCTTTATGTTGAGGTGTAATCCATACTGAAGGCTGTGGTCTTTGATCTTCATCAGTAAGTGCTTCAAGTCCTCTTCCCTTTCAGCAAGTAAGGTTGTGTATTTGCATATCCAAGGTTGTTAACGAGTCTTCCTCCAATCTAGATGCCCCATTCTTCACATAGTCCAGCTTCTCGGATTATTTGCTCAGCATACAGACTGAATAAGTATAGTGAAGGGAGGGATAGAACCCAGATGTACATCTTTTTAAACCATGCAGTATCCCCTTGTTTTGTTTGAACAACTGCCTTTTGGTCTATGTACAGGTTCTGCATGAGCACAATTAAGTGTTCTGGAATTCCCATTCTTCCCAGTGTTATCCATAATTTGTTATGATCCACACAGTCAAATGCCTCTGGCATAGTCGATAAACACAGGTAAACATCTTTCTTGTATTCTCTTTCAGCCAAGATCCATCTGACATCAATGATATCCCTCATTCCACGTCCTCTTCTGAATCTGACTTGAATTTCTGGCAGTTCCCTGTCAATGTACTGCTGCAACTGCTTTTGAATGATCTTCAGCAAAATTTTACTTGCGTGTGATATTAATGATATTGTTCAATAATTTCTGCATTCGGTTGGATCATCATTTTTTGGAATGGGCATAAATATGGATCTCTTCCAGTCAGTTAGCCAGGTAGCTGTCTTCCAAATTTGTTGGCATAGACGAGTGTTATGGATTGAATTGTGTCCCATAAAAATGTGTGTCATCTTGGCTAGGCCACATATCCCAGTATTGTGTGCCTGTCCACCATTTTGTCATCTGATGTGATTTTCCTATGTGTTGTAAGTCCTACCTTTATGATGTTAATGAGGCAGGATTAGAGGCAGTTATGTGTTTGTTTTTTTATTGTTGTGCTTTAAGTGAAAGTTTACAATTCAAGTTAGTCTCTCATACAAAAATTTATACACACATTGTTACGTGACCCTAGTTGCTCTCCCTATACTGTGACAGCACACTCCTCCTTTCCACTCCTGATTTCCCGTGTCCATTCAACCAGCTCCTGATCCTCTCTGCCTTCTCATCTCACCTCTGGACAGGAGCTGCCCATTTAGTCTCATGTGTCTACTTGAGCTAAGAAGCACACTCATGAGTATCATTTTATATTCCATAGTCCAGTCTGATCTTTGTCTGAAGAACTGGGCTTGGGAATGGTTTTAGTTTTGGGCTAACAGGCTGGGGGCCATGTCTTCCAGGGTCTCTCCACCCTCAATCAAACCATTAAGTCTGGTCTTTTAACTAGAATTTGAGTTCTGCATCCCACTCCTCTCCTACTCCATCAGAGACTCACTGTTATGTTCCCTGTCAGGGCAGTCATTGGTGGTAGCCGGGCACCAGCTAGTTCTTCTGGTCTCAGGCTGATGAAGTCTCTGGTTTTTGTGGCCCTTTCTGTCTCTTGGGCTAATACTTTCCTTGTATCTATGGTGTTCTTCATTCTCCTTTACTTCAGGTGGGCTTGGACCAATTGATGCATCTTAGATGGCCGCTCACTAGCTTTTAAGACCCCAGACGCCACTCACCAAAATGGGTTGCAGAACATTTTCTTAATAAACTTTGTTATTCCACTTGACCTAGATGTCCCCAGAAAGCATGGTCCCCAGACCCCTGCCCCTGCTACTCTGTCCCTCAAAGTGTTTGGCTGTGTTCAGAAAACTTCTTATCTTTGGTTTAGTCCAGTTGTGCTGACTTCCCCTGTAGTGTGTGCTGTCCTTCCCTTCACCTAAGATAATTCTTGTCTACTATCTAGTTAGTAAATAACCCTCTCCCTCCCTCCCCACCTTCATAACCATCAAAGAATGTTTCCTTCTGCATTTAAACCTTTTCTTAAGTTCTTATAATACTGGTCTTATACAATATTTGTGCTTTTGCAACTGACTAAATTCACTCAGCATAATGCCTTCCAGATTCCCCCATGTTATGTTTCACGGATTCATCATTGTTCTTTATCATTGCGTAGTATTCCATTGTGTGAATATACAATTATTTGTTTATCCGTTCATCCATTGATAGGCACCTAGGTTGTTTCCATCTTTCGGCTATTGTAAACAGTGCTGCAATGAACATAGGTCTGCATGTATCTATTCATGTGATGGCTCTTATTTCTTTAGTATATATTCCAAGGAGCAGGATTGCTGGATCATATGGTACTTCTATTTCCAGCTTTTTAAGGAAGCGCCAAATCGATTTCCAAAGTGGTTGTACCATTTTACATTCCCACCAACAGTGTATAAGTGTTCCAGTCTCTCCACAACCTCTCCAACATTTATTATTTTGTTTTTTGGATTAATGCTATCCTTGTTGGGGTGAGATGCTATCTCATTGTAGTTTGATTTGCATTTCTCTAATGGCTAATGATTGTGAGCATTTCCTCATGTGTCTGTTAGTACAGGCAGTTATGTTAATGAGGCAGGACTCTATCTACAAGATTAGGTTGTATCTTGAGTCAATCTCTTGAAATAGAGAGAAGCAAGCAGAGAGACAAAGGGACCTCATTACCACCAAGAAGGAAGTGTCAGGAGCAATGCATCCTTTGGACCTGGGGTCCCTGTGCTGAGAAGCTCCTAGAGCAAGGGAACATTGATGACGAGGACCTTCCCCAGAGCTGACAGAGAGAGAAAGCCTTCCCCTGGAGCTGGCACCCTGAATTTGGACTTCTAGCCTCCTGGACTGTGAGAGAACAAATTACTTTTTGTTAAAGCCATCCACTTGTATTTCTGTTATTTCAGCACTGGATAACTAAGACAATGAGTGAGCACCTCCAGTGCTGCATCCGTTTGTTGAAGCATCTTAATTGGTATTCCATCAATTCCTTAAGCCTTGTTTTTCACAAATGCCTTCAATGCAGCTTGGACTTCTTTCTTCAACACCATCAGTTCTTGATCATATGCTACCTCCTGAAATGGATGAATGTCAACTAATTTTTTTTTTGGTTCATTGACTGTGCATGCCTTCCATCTTCTTTTGATGCTTCCTGCATCATTCAGTATTTTGCCCACAGAATCCTTCAGTATTGCACCTCAAGGCTTGAATTTTTTCTTCAGTTCTTTCAGCTTGCTGAGCATATTCTTCCCTTTTGGTTTTCTAACTCCAGGTCTTTGTACTTGTCATTATAATACTTTGTTTTCTCGAGCCGCCCTTTGAAATCTTCTGTTCAGCTCTTTTACTTTATCATTTCTTCCATTCGCTTTTGCTGTTCTATGTTCAAGAGAAGTTTCAGAGTTTTTTATAACATCCATTTTGGTCTTTTCTTTCTTTCCTGTCTTTTAAATGACTTGCTTTCTTTATGTATGATGTCTTTGATGTCATCCCACAACTAGTTTGGTCTTCAGTCATTAATATATAATACGTCAAATCTATTCTTGAGATAGTCTCTAAATTCAGGTGAGGTATACTCAAGGTCATATTTGGCTCTTGTGGACTCGAGTTAATTTTCTTCAGCTTCAAGTTGAACCTGCATATGAGCAATTGATGGTCTGTTCCGCAGTCGGCCCTGGCCTTCTTCTGACTGACGATATTGAGCTTCTCCATCGTCTCTTTCCACAGATGTAGTCAATTTGATTCCCATATATTCCATCTGGTGTGGTCCACGTGTATAGTTGCAGTATGTTGTTGAAAAAAGGTATTTGCAATGAGTAATTCATTGATCTTGCAAAATTCTAATGTGATCTCCGGCATTGTTTCTATCACCAAGGCCATATTTCCCAACTACTGATCCATTTTTGTTTCCAACTTTCTCATTCCAATCACCAGTTATTATCAGTGCATCTTAACTGCATGTTTGATCAATTTGAGACTGCAGAAGTTGGTAAAATCTTCAGTTTCTTTGTCTTTGGCCTTAGTGGTTGGTGTGTAAATTTGAATAATAGTCGTATTAACTGGTCTTCCTTGCAGGTGTATGGATATTATCCTATCACTGACAGCGTTGTGTTTCAGGATAGATCCTGAACATTCTTTTTGACAATGAATGCGACACCATTCCTTTTCAATTTTTCATTCCGAGCTTAGTAGACCATATGACTGTCTGATTCAAAATGACCAATACTAGTTATTTCAGCTCACTAATGCCTAGGATATCGATCTTTATGTGTTCCATTTCATTTTTGACGACTTCCAATTTTCCTAGATTCATACTTCATACAGTCCATATTCCAATTACTAATCGATGTTTGCAGCCGTTACCTCTCATTTTGAGTCATGCCACATTGGCCAGTGAAGGTCCCAAAAGCTATACTCCATCCTTGTCATTAAGGTTGACTCTACTTTGAGGAGGCAGCTCTTCCCTAGTCATATTTTGAGTGCCTTCCAACCTGAGGGGCTCATCTTCTGGCACGATATCACACAACATTCCTCTGCTATTCATAAGGTTTTCTCTGGCCAATATTTTCAGAAGTACACTGCGAGGTCCTTCTTCCTACTCTGTCTTAATCTGGAAGCTCTGCTGAAACCTGTCGACTATGGGTGACCCTCTGGTATTTGAAATACTGGTGGCATAGCTTCAGTATCACAGCAACACGCAAGCCACCACAGTACGACAAACTGACAGATGAGTGGTGGAAAATTCATAGATTAAAAGAAAAAAGCCTGTTGCCGTCTAGTTGATTCCGACTCATAGCAACCCTATAGCACAGAGTAGAACTGCCCCACAGGGTTTCCAAGGAGCAGCTGGTAGATTCGAACTGCCAACCTTTTTGGTTAGCAGCCGAGTTCTTAACCACTGTGCCACTAGGTCTCCTAATTCATAGATATATAATTCTTGTATATATTTTGTGTATGTACACACATAGAGGATAGTGTTGATTTCATGATTATAAGGAAATTATTCTGCCAATATTGTGTCAGAGATGCGATGTTACTATACAGATGTGATATTACTGTATTACTAAAGAAGACTTACTTAAAACACCAAAGAATTTGTGTGTTCTTAAAAAGAAGTTATGTCTGATTAAAATGTGTAACTGACTTTCAGTGTTGGATTGTTTAAAAAGTCTGATTGCTTAATAGTTGACTAAGATCATCTTTTTAAAGCAAAGAAAAGGGAGGAAAACCCTTCCTAGTCCGTTTCCCGTCTTAGTTTCACTACATAAGAGCGAATCTGCAACAGATCACACAGGTATTTTAAAGAATAAGCTCCACGTGTGTTCCAGTCACGGGGCGCTGCCTGCTTAATGCGGATATTTCTACCTGAGCAGAAGGGATGCCCCACAACACTTAGGCAGTTATCCTGAACAGGATGACTATAGTGTGTGAGTGGAAATCATATTTTCTTGGGTCCTTGTGCGGCTGCCTGCTCAGCTGTGGGGCCATATATCTTAGAGGAGACATATGGACCCTGAGCTGGGGCAGGGACATCTGTCTGCCAGTTCAGGTGGCGCTGCTGCTGTGCAGACAGAGCTGGGACTGCTGGGTCTACTTGGCCAGTACCTGAGCTGGGTTAGGTGGGGTGCTGCCCAAAGTGCCCCTCTTTATTCTACATAGAGCAAAAATAGTTGCTATATTTCTGTATAAATTAGGACTCTAGTTGCAAGGAATAGAGGTCAATTCAAGCTAGTTTAGACAGTTAAAAGGCATTCATTTTAAGGCTGTTTTGTGAAGCAAAGGACAGGAATGCAGGTGGAGCTAGACCTCTGAGAGGGACTGGACATCTCTTGGGAGCCTGCGAGCGGTTCTCCTGTCCCAGAACTTCACAGCTGCTGCAGGCTTCTCTCCCTTGGTACACGGTGGAAAGTGGCCATACTCACAGCTCCTGGGCTTATGTGTTACCCCAGGAGACCCCTTGACTCTCACTCCCAGTTCAGGTTCCCAGGTGAGTCTGTCGTCCATCAGCCCTGGCCCCGTGGCCGCCAGGGTCTAACCCGTGAACACATGTCTGTAGAGAAGACAGTCGCTCGTGACTCCATCCACACTTCAATGTGGCGTGCACTTGCCAGGCTGGCATCCTGGTGGGAGCAGGACCCAGGAGGCTGGTGAGGACAGGAGGTTTCCTTCCCTCTGCCCTGCCCTGTTTCTGTGCTTCTACGCCAGAACATCCTCATGGGCTTTATCTCTAATGCCTTCTGTTCTCCCCACCTGTGGAGAAGATGATGACCAAGGACAAGAAGTGAATCACGAGCACCTTTCCAGATCTCCGCGCTACCATCCCACAGGGCCCTCGCTTGCCAGCCCGGTCCCCATGCCTGCTTCGCTTGGCTCCAACTCCCACATGGTAAATACTGTGTTGAAACTGTCCCCGTTAGCTGATTGTCTGGTTTTTAAACTCCCGGAACTGCAGTGACCGCCAGACCCCAGGTGGTGAGGATGTGCTAGCACCAAGCGTCCCTTCCCCTCACTGCTCCCTCACAGCTAAAACCATGACAAAAGCAAGGCCGCTCCAAGGGTTCTGAGTGCAACCAAACCACTTTATTAAAGGCAAGATGTGTGAGGTTTCAAAAAGGAATAGGCCACATGGAGTACAGTGAGCCCACTGGGGCACTGTCTTATGAAAAGCACTTTTGGTTCCATGTTCTTTTAACGCAACTCTGCCCAAATAGTCGCTGTGACTTTCCAGAAACCTCCGCCATCTATAAAATTCCTGCTTCTTCTATTTTGCAGCTCCTCTCCCAAACTGCAGCTCTGCCTTTCCCAGCCCGCTGGGCTCTAAAGCAGCCAACCTTTCTGCCCTCACAAATGTGCATATATGAAATAAGTATACAGAAACCAAAGATTATTAGTGGTTACCAGGGGTGGAGGGAGGGGAAAAGGGGAAGTTTGCTTCGGGGGCATTGAGGTTATGTTAATGGTGGTGGAATGATTTGGAAAAGGATAGTGAGAATGGTTGCACAACTTCAAGAATGTAATCAATGTCACTAAATTATATATGTAGAAATTGTTGAGGTGGCATATGTTTTAAGTATATTTTCACCACAATGAAATTTTTAAAAAATTACAGCTAAAAACCTTTATGAATGGCATTGAAATAAAAACTGCATCAGACTCAACCACACTTGTTTTATTAGTGTTTAGTCATGCTGAACAAATCTGTCTTGGAAGAAGTACAACCAGAATGCTCCTTAGAAGCAAGGATGGCGAGACTAGTCTCACATACTTTGGACGTTGTCAGGAGGGATCAGTCCCTGGAGAAGGACATCACACTTGGTAAAGTAGAGGGTCAGCGAAAAAGAGGAAGACCCTCAACGAGATAGATTGACACAGTGGCTGAAACAGTGGACTCAAGCATAACAACGATGGTGAGGATGGCGCAGGACTGGGCCGTGTTTGGTTCTGTTGTACATCAGGTTGCTATGAGTCGGAACTGACTCGAGGGCACCTAACAACAACCACAGTGATGCTGATACTCAGACTTTTGCACAAATCAGATCTTGGGAGAAACCAAGTCCAGATGTCTTCCTTGCCCCGTGATTAGCCATTCCTACCCCTAACTCACCAACATCAGAGCCTAAATTCACCCGAGGGCACCCCTACCCCTCAGAGGCCCTCCCGGCCAAGAGTCTGGCTGTTTAGAAGACACGAAGGTTGTGGGAGGCGGGGGTCATTGCAGCCTTGTCCTTGCCCTCCAGGCCAGCTGTCCAGGTGGCCCCTCGTGGACTGGAGCCAGCAGACACCAGCAGCCACCACACAAAAGCCACGCTGCAGCTGTGGTTGTGAGGGCAAAGCAGAGCAAGAAGCGCCATCAACAGCCCACAGCCACTGAGCTCGCAGCAGGCACCTGTCAGCTCAGCAGGGCTGACACCAGGGCATGACCAAAGGGACAAGTCAGGGTGTGACAGCAGGGTGTGAGCCTCCTTCCACGGTGAGAGCCACTGTGGGGCGCCAGGGCTGGCCTAGCCCTCCCCCCCGCCCCGTTCTCTGCTGCGCCTCATGGTGTAGCGCCCCTTCCTTCCCTCCCCGGCCTGTCTCAGCCACCTGGGCCCCAGGCCTTTCTGCTCTCTGTCCCAGAAGGGTTTCTCCTGCCGACCCTGGTGCAGTTCACCCCCGCCGTGCTGACACTGAGGCTGTCACGTCTCCTGGAAGGACGGCGCTGACATAGTCCCCGTGGTGGTGACGGAGGCTCTCTCTGGCTCCTGTGCCCTGGTCGACGCCTGCCTGATGCAGAGCGGCGCCGTCCTCGGAGCTGTCTCCAGGACCTACTCCATTTGCTCCAGCGCTCTAGAAAACTTCTCCAGAGCGCTCCTGAAAGACTGCAGCAGGAAGGCCCCCAGCTCCTGCCTTGTTTCTTGGATGTTGGGGTCGAAGGTCCCGAAGAGGGGTGTGGAGGCCTGGATGTCCTCCCGGCCGGCCTGCAGCAGCACCGCACGCAGCTCCCCCGCCACCTCCTCGTACTTCTGCTGGTCGAACTTGGTCATGGCCAGCTCGTCCTGCGGGTAGGTGGCACCCTCGGGGTAGCAGTCCCTCGGCACCGGAAACTCAATGCGCCGCAGCCCGGGGAGCTCACAGAGGGCAGCAAAGAGTCTCCGCAGGGCGCGGGCCGACAGTGGGTTCCCCAGGAGCCGAAGCTCCTGCAGCTGGAGGCAGGGGCTCAGGCCCAGAACCATTCTGTTCACGTGCTGGTCCCCGATGCCACACTCCTCCAAGGTGAGGGTCCGCAGTGAGGGGGCGGCGCGGCGGAGCAGTCGGAAGAAGGTGGATGGGTACAGGCTGGCCAGGTCGTGGCCACTGAGGTCCAGCACTTCTAGGTGGGCAGCGTGGGGGCAGTCTGCTAAGAAGGCCATGTCTGCATGGTTCAAGGCACAGTTGGCCAGGTCCAGGGTCCGAAGTGGGGTCTGCAGGGAGCTGCGGGCAAGGTGGAAGCAGCAGAGGTGAGAGGAGGGTCTCAGGGAGGAGCACTGAGGGGGGATGGCCATCAAGTACTGTCTATCCCCGGGGTTGGCAAGCTGCAGCCCCAGGGCCCGGTCCGGCCCCAGGCTGGATTTTGTACACCCACGGGCTAAGAATGGTCGTTACAGTTTTAAATTGGTGGTGTGTGTGTGGCGGGGGGGACACCTGACAATGAGTTGACATTCACGTTTCAGTGTTCGTAAATGAGTTTTGTTGGAGCACAGCCACACTCGCTCATTTGCCTATTCGTTTCTGAGTCGTGTGGCAGACTTCAGGCCCAGGAAGCCCGGTGTACTTGCTGGCCTTTACAGAGTTTGCTGACCCCCGGCCTGTCCCTGCCCTGCTGTATGTACAAGGGCACCTGGAGGCAGAACAGAGGTGCCTAGGAAGGAAATCGAGGGCAGGGAGCAGGGCTTTGATCCAGTTCTGCTTTGTGAGGTCTGATGGAAGGTCCAACAGGAGGGGATACCAGGGCAGACCTCCTGGAGGAGGCGGTGTGTGAGCTGACCCTCATAGGTGGGGAGGGGCGTCTCCCACCTCCCCTGCCACCCTGTCCACCCATACCTCTCCCACCATCCTCCGGGGCTGGTCTCCGCCCCCACCCTGCCCCTCCCCGTATTCCTGCTGGCAGCTTCTGTGGGGAAAACCAGCTGCTTCCTGTTTGCAGAAGGTGGTGCCCCTGCTGGGGGTCAGGAGAAACCCGCTGCTGTGCGTCTGTTCCAGCGTCATGCAGTTTCCCGAGTGAGTCGTGTGCAGGAGGATTACACACGCTGAGGGGTGAAGTGCACAGTGGGATTGAGCAGGGAATAAAGTGCCTGGCCCCGCTCTGAGCAATGTCTTCGGGTCCAGTCCAGTGTCATCTAGGCCGGGGGCCTGACCAGGCCTGGCTGTGCCTGGAATTGCCAGGGAACCCAGGATGACTCCAAGGTCCCCCCTGCGCCTTGCTCAGAGTGGGTGGTCTCCTTGCTCCATCTGCCCTGCCCCCTTCCTTCTCAGGCCTGTTGTGGGGACCCCAGGAGCAAGGTGAGTCTTGTGAAGCATGAGACTCGGGACCTCCAGGGGCTTGTCTTGCTCAGGAAAAGCCCAAGTCCTTCCCTCTGCTCTACCTTGGCCCCTCTCTCCTTGCACGCGCCCTCGACCCGCCACGCTCCCACCGCAGGGCCTTTGTACCTCTGGTCCTCTGCTGGGACACTCTTCCCAGACATGTGCTTGGCTTCCACCCATCACTCCGGCCACCTGCTTGAAGGCCATCTGACCATCCACTTGACACGCTCCATACCCTACCTGCCTCTCCCTGGCAGGCCTGGGGTGTGAGGAGGGGCCTGGGTGCCTGCTGGGGGAGTGAAGGCTACTGCATGGGCCCCCAGCCAGCCCGGGTCTGCAGTTTCTGGGTTTCCTTTGTATAAAAGAAGTAGAACCAAAAAAAAAAAGAAAAGAAAAGAAATCTTTGCCGTCGAGTCTCTTTCGACTCATACTGACCCCTATAGGACAGAGTAGAACTGCCCTGTAGGGTTTCCAAGGAGCGGCTGGTGGATTCAAACAGCTGCCCTTCTGGTTAGCAGCTATAGCTCACTGTAGCTTTTAACCACTGTGCCACCAGGGCTCCAAAAGAAATAGAAGACTCCCTAAATGTAGAACATACACCTTCAAACTCACTAGCTCAAAAAGTTGAATTTTTGTAAGTTTTTATAGATATACTTGTGGCCCAAGGACCCACTCCTCATACTACGCCCTGTGTGGTTCCTTCCCCCTTGGCTGTGGGCAGGACATGGTGGCTGGCTTTTAACCAAGAGAACACTGGCAGAAGTGATGGGCTGTCACTCTCAAGATCAGGTTACAAGGACCACAGCTGTCATCAGAGGCTGTCTCGGCCCCTCCCTCCCTCTCTCTCATCACCAGTCACAGGGACTCTCAGGCAGCCTGCAGGAAGCCCTTGCAGTGAGGAACTGAGGGCCCCCCCAGCCCACCCCACCAAGCCCTCAGATGAGACCGCAGCTGACGGCGACCTCCTGGGAGACCCCCAGCCACAGGCACCCAGCTGGGGTTCCTGATCCCCAGCACTGAGAGATGATGCTTTTGAAAGCCACAAGTGTTGGGGTAACTCGTTACGCAGCAGCAGGTAACTGGTACGGTGCCCTGGAGGATGTTTCCAAAGATTCCATGATGTGCTTACTTCTCTTCCTTCTTTGCTGATTGGTAACTTTCTCTTTTGCTTACTAACTGAAAACGGTCTCCCCTGAGTTCTGCCTCCCCAGGTTACCCACATGCTGACCCCTCTTCTTCCTTCTGGCTCTAAGGCAGTTGCCTGCCCACTCCAGGGTTGGGGGCAGGTAGGAGCTGGTAGCCTGGTACATAAACAAACAGGTCCCATCTTTCCACTCCTGGTGCATCTGCAGCCTGGTCCTCTGCCGGGTACCCAATGCTGTGTCTGCTCTGATGCCCCTGCCCCGCCCTCAGCCCTCGCCCTCCACTCACCCGAGCAGCTCCTGGATCTTGCCGGTCAGCCTGGAAAAGGACACGCTGAGCTCAGTGAGCTGGGTCATCTGGCCAAGCGCCCTGGCGATGGCAGTCAGGTGGGAGTCCTCGTGGTGGGGGACGGGGCCGTGGGCGGGTGGCGCGTCAAAGGCCTTGGCGGGCAGTGTGAGCGCCGTCAGCCGGGGGAAGCGCACCTGCGCCAGCAGCTGCTCCACGTGGCCGGCGTGCAGCTGCACGTTGTGTACCACCTCGAGCCTGCGCAGTGCCCCCGGGCCCGCCAGCCGCACCACTTGCAGCAGCTGCGCCGGGCGCAGGCTGTCAGCCCTGAAAGAAGGGCAGAGCAACCGCAGAGGCGCCGGGCCTGCCGGTCGCAGGGCGCGCACCACCGCCTCAAAATTGCCGTTGGTGACGAAGAGGTCAGCCAGCACCTCGACGGTGGGACGTCTGGCCACGCGTGGCTCTGCCTGCAGCTCGAAGCAGGCCCGGGCCAGCAGCTCGGTGCGGCCCCAACGGCCCAGCGTCCGTCTGCAGCGACACCGCGGCTCCTGCACGTCGCGCAGGCCCGTGAGATCCGCCAGCCGCAAGCGCGTGCGGCTCTCGGCGCGCAGCACGTGGCCCCGCAGGCCGCGCACGCAGGCCTCGAGGCAGGGCCGGCAGGGCCGGTCGCGCAGGTCCTCCGGGTGGTCGGCGCCTGGCCCCAGCAGCGCGCCCAGCCGGAACTCCTCCAGCGGCCAGCGCACCAGCAAGGCCTGCACCAGGTCCGCCTGCTCCAGCAAGTAGCTGGCTTTGAAGAGCAGCGGGTAGAGGTTGTGGGCCACACAGTCCAGGCTCTGCAGGGCCGCCGGCGCGTGGGCAGCCAGAGCCTCCGCGGAAAGGCAGCGCAGCGACCTCATGGCACCACAAGCCCGCAGGCAGGACGGCTGTGCACTGGGATCCTCTGAAAGGTGCCCGTCCTTCACCCCTATTTTTAGCTGCAGCTGCTGTGAGAGCAGCCAGCTCCTGCTGTCATCTGACGGCTATTTTGGTCCCAGACACTGGTTTGCTTGGGGGGTGGCATCCATCTGGGGGATGGCAGACACCGGGCCTGGACTGCCAGCACTGCCTCAACCTGCCCCAGGGCAGGTCACCGTCGATGTTTAGACGCTGATCTTGGGAGGCCTCCTGCACGTGGCTGGCCCCAGGCAGCCTCCTCTGGCTAACCTGCCCAAATCGTCTGTACCGGGTACTGCTCGCCACCTCTCTTCTGGCCCATCCAAAAAGTCAGGCCCCGCTGGGCTCTGGAGGCCGACAAATGTTACCCTTTCAGAGTGGACCTTGGGATCCGACCCTCCCCTTGCACTCCACCTGGGAATCAGGAGGTGGGGCCAGGGACCGGGGAGGGCACCTGTGATGAGGGGCTGGCGCTTTGTCCTTTCCTTCTCTGCACCTTCATTCCGCCAAGGGCCCTGGGCAGCCTGGGTCATGGGAGGGCGCCATCCAGAGGCACTCAGACACACCGGTGACGCTGTCCAGCCCAGCAGAGCTGGTGCAAACCTTGGCAGAGCTGTGGACTCAGATGGCAGATGGGTCTCAGAGAAGCTGCTTCCCTCTGAGCCTCAGTTTTCTTGTCTGCCAAATGGGTTTCCCATGACCACACTGCGGGAAACGCCAGGTTCCATGTGAATGCATCTGTGAACCACAAAGCCCCCAGCACCGGCTACAGGTGTTTGTAGTCACTAATGCCATGACCCCCGAGCATCACTATCATTGGGGCAGGGCTCCTGGGGTGTGCACTGTCGGCCCCATGCTCCTTGGTGTTGGCAGGTTGCCCCCCACTCCGCTTGGGCAGTGTCTCTTCCCGGGGGGGGGGGGTCTGGTGAGCAAGGACTTACGCTCCAGTGGTGGCACCCAGGCATTGTCAGGGAGGAGGGTGAGGTGTGTGTGTGGGGCGGGCCCTGCCGTCACCCTGCGGACTGCCTTGGCCGCGTTGGACACTGATGTTGCAGAGCCTCACCCTGCTGCCCAGGGCTGCCTCGGTTCTAAGTCACCCATGTAGGGGGTTGGCGCCTTTGGAAGAGACGGGCGGGTGACCCTGGACTCCCACTTCTGTTTCCAGGACCCAATAAGAGGAATGTGAGGACAGGTGAAAAGCTGCATTTATTTCTGTTCTTAAAGTTTCAAACATGTCAGTATTGAAACAAGGTAGCAAAAGTAACAAAATAGTTTCCTATTTGGCTTCTGACAGGCAGTTTCTAAAACCTACCTTTACCTGTTTATCTGTTCGTTTCTATAGTGGCCCCAGGGGCTGGCCCCTGGGCAGGGAGTCTGGGGAAGGTGTGGGGCCAGCAGAGGACCCGCGGCCTGTAAGGGGTGGTCCTTTGGGGGGTGGTGTCCATGTTCATCAGATCTCCTGGTCCAGGCCTGGGCAAACTGGCCCTGCTCCTGTGCCCCGGGGGCTGTGGTCTGCACCCCTGCAGCTGGCGTGGGGAGCTCAGCTCTGGGCCCCCCACTGGGAAAGCACTGAGGGGAGCAGGTGATGGCTGGTCCCAGGCTCACTGGTGGTGGCCATGGCCCCCAGGGCTCCTCAGGCCTAACTCAGGCACCTCTTACACTAACTAAACACAACTGTTAATAGAGAGACTAGACGGCGTTCCAGGCACCGCTGGATCATACTCAGATGTGCAGAGGTGTTGCCGAACCTCTGTGCATGCCCCGCCCGGGGACTGTCCCTGCCAACGAGACTGAGGCCCAATCCTGTGGTCGGGAGGCATCCCACTAGGACCAGGGTCCGTGAGCTTCCACCACGCCCCTCTAGAGTGCTGGTGCTGTCCAGGAAGGCGGGGGGGGGGGGTGGTCAGGAACACCCCTGCTTGAACATTTCACTTGGTGACATCACGCAGCATTCCTGGTCACAGCTCCTCCCTCCCCTGCGCCAGCCCTTGCTGGGTCAGTCACAGCTGTCAAAACAGATTGTGTTATGGGTCGTTCAGTGCTCACTCACATCCCCATCACCGAAGCAGGTGCCACGAGGGCCTCCTCCACCTGGCTCTGCCCACCCAAGTCCTATGAGCAGGGGTGGTGCCACCGGAGGGAGAGTCCAGGTGGCTGGGCAGCATGGACAGCCTGAGCTCCCTCTGGGCCCTGAGCTGCAGGGACCACCCCCCATGGACCACATACTTTCTCCTCCCGGTTCCCCTGAGTGAGCATTGAGCAGGCGGCCAGGAACCAGCAACAAGGGGACCGGGGAGAGCAGGGGCAATGTGGGGGAGTCGGGGGGCATGGACCGAATGGGGAGCTGTGGGGGCCAGGAGTGAGCTCACCCACATGGGGCTGGACAGCCTTGTTTGGCCCCTCCCCCATGCTGCCCAAAGCCCGGACACCCAGGCAGCCTTCAGACAGATCAGCGCCATCGTTGTTAAAGCTGTATGGGCCCTCGTGAAGACGACGGGCCGTAGGAACGAGGGCACTGCCACCAACTCTTTCTTCCGAGCTACGAAGAGAAGCAACGTTTTCTCTGCAGGATCAGTGTTGCTTAGCACAAGGGTGGCCCTAGTGGGAGCATCCCGCGGGGCCTCCATGTTGTGAAGGGGAATTTCATGTGTCACCATGGTTTGGCTATGGTGCCCAGCTGTTTGGGCAAATACTTGTTTAGAGTTTGCCCTGGAAGTATTTCATAAATATGGTTAACGTGGTTCACCAGTTGACCTGAAGCAAAGGAGATGTGAGTGGGCCTCACCCAATCAGTGGAAGGCCTTAAGAGCAAAAATGGCTTTCCTAGAGTAAAGGGCATTCTGCCTCAAGACTGTAACAGAGATCCTGCCCGAGTTTCCAGCCGGCCGCCTGCCCTGTGATTTCACAGACTCACCAACTCCCACAACCCATGAACCACATCTTTAAAAGAAACCTCTCTCCATGTACATCCTATTGGCTCGGCTTCTGTGGAGACCCTGACGGACACGGTGGATAAAAAGGTCTCGGCCCTAAAAGATGCCACTTGCTGTGTTTGCAGTTCTGACCCTGTGTGCCTCTCACACGCAGGCCAGGTGGGAAATGGAAGCCCTCAGGTGGATTTCACATGTGGTGTGTGGAAAACAGTCTCTACTTCACAGACACAGAGAATCCACACTTTGTGATATTCATCCTGGACCTGCACTGCACGCAGTCCGAGGGGCCTTCGCAGAGCCGGGTGGGTCAGTGGGCAGCCTCACTGGGAGGACGGTCCTCTGCACCTCTGACCCCTGCCTGCGAAAGCTCAGACTGCGAGCTCTTCAACGAAGGCAGTGGTCTCACAGCTATGAACACATGAACCTGCGGAGAGCAGGACGCCTTCCTGGGGGTCTTCCAACTGTGGCGGGGGCCAGTGGCCGTCGGTGAGCAGGTGGTGGCAGGAACAGCACAAACCGCCACGGCCAATGGGCCCCTGTGCCCGCTCCCTGTTTCGGCCCGCACACATGAGGCCCCGCGCCCCTGTGCCCACTCCCTGTTTTCGCCCGCACACTAGAGGCCCCCAAGCCCCTGGCCTCCATGGTTTCAGCTCGAGGGCCTTTTGAAAACGAGGGCCCGCGGGAAGCATTGCCAGCCAGCCGGGGCAGCCCAGGCAGTGCGTCCTCCCTCCAAGGGCTCCTCGTGCCGAGGGCTGTGTCTTGCCTGCTGTTGGCAGGAGAGTCCGGCCAGCGCCCAGACACATCCAGGCGGCAGATGTTGGAGCTCACAGTTCTGGGAATGGGCCATGTGGGGCTTGGCGGGCTGGTTGTCCTGTGGCCCTAAGGTCTCAGGGCAAGTGGTGAGCCCTGGGCTCCAGCCAACCCTGACACACAGAGCGCTCAGGGGCGCCCTGGAAGGAGGCTCTACCCTGGGACCCTCCAGGCTGGGCCGTTGTCACCACTGGGCAAGCTTGGAGACCATGGGTCCCCTCAGAGGAGCTGCAGGTTGGGGCAAGGGAGGTGGAGGGGTGCCAAGAAGCAGGTTAGTGGGAAGGGGTGCCCAGCTTGGAGAAGGCGCTGTCCCTCGGGGTGCAGTTAGTGTGCCATGCTGTCACGCTGATGTGTCTGGGACAGGCAGTGGGATGTGCAGTCAGCCAGAGTCATGTTATGGTTAGGAATGCCCTCTGATCGCCACCTTGGTCACCTGGGGTTTAGCCAGGAAACCAGCTACTTACAGAAAATTCCGCCTGCCAATCAGACCACTGCAGAGAGGCCTGAGACGTGGGGGGCTTTGTTCTGATGAGAAGGAGGGATCACTGATCAGAACCAACGCACTTGCTGCTTATCGTGCGGCACAGGGACCTGCTTCCCAAACTCTAGGCTCAGAGAACCCTTGAAACCAGACCTTCCCTTCTCATGCTGCCTGGGGGTGGCAGGGGGCTTCTTCCAAGACCTGGAAACATGCCTGGGGCTGAAGCAGACCACACTGAACCCACAGCTCCAGCAATGTCAGAAAAAAGGAAAGGCCCCTGTGAAAGATGTCTCGGTGACAGGATCTCCCGTCTGAGGAGCCCTTTCCTGTCACCTCGATACCTGTTTTCTGCGGAGGACTGGGGATCTCCGTCTGAGGAGCCCTTTCCTGACACCTCAACACCTGTTCTCTCTGGAGGACTGGGGATCTCTGTCTGAGGAGCCCTTTCCTGCCACCTTGACACCTGTTCTCTGTGGAGGACTGGGGATCTCTGTCTGAGGAGTCCTTTCCTGTCACCTTACTGCCTATTCTCTGTAGAGGACTGGGGATCTCCTATCTGAGGAGCCCTTTCCTGTCACCTTGATGCCTGTTCTCTGTGGAGGACTGGGGATCTCCTATCTGAGGAGCCCTTTCCTGTCACCTTGCTGCCTATTCTCTGTGGAGGACTGGGGATCACCATCTGAGGAGCCCTTTCCTGTCACCTTGATGCCTGTTCTCTATGGAGGACTGGGGATCTCCGTCTAAGGAGCCCTTTCCTGTCACCTTGACACCTGTTTTCTCGGGAGGACTGGGGATCTCCTTTCTGAGGGGCCCTTTCCTGTCACCTTGATGCCTGTTCTCTATGGAAGACTGGGGATCTCCTATCTGAGGAGCCCTTTCCTGTCACCTTGATGCCTGTTCTCT